CTCTAGTCCATGGGATAACAGAGTCAGACACAACTGAAGTGACTTGGCACGCACACATATCATGGGTAGTAATACTTAACAGAGAAAAGTAAAGATATAAAGAACTGTGAAGTCTGAGCTAGTGTATATAATAGCAAATGACAATTTGAAGAAAAAAGCCCAGTTAAACAAGTAAAGGAAATTCTTGTTTCTTGTAGTAAACAATCTTAGATGTGGCATGTTCCTATGGCAAGCCTCCCAAGATCTACATTTATTTTACTGTTGTTAATTATCAGGATAACAGATTTTTAAAATCATGACATGAAAGAAAAAAATAAATATAATGAAGTAAATATTATGGGAAAAGTTGGCATATGTAGCACATTAAGTTAGCGTTAGCATTGTTTTCTTCTGCACTTTAGCAGAATTTCACATGGCCTTTCATTCATCATGGACTTCCCTGGTGGTTCAGCTGGTAAAGTGTCTGCCCACAATGTGGGAGACCCAGGTTTGATCCCTGGGTTGGGAAGATCCTCTGGAGAATGAAATGGCAACCCATCCCAGTACTCTTGCCTGGAAAATCCTATGGACGGAGGAGCCTGGTGGGCTACAGTCCACGGGGTCACAAAGAGTTGGACACAACTGAGTGACTTCACTTTCTTTCTTTCATTCATCAATCTGAAGCAAGTCATTTACTTTCTTCTTTTTAATTAATTATTTTTATTGGAGAATAATAACTTTACTTTCTAAATGAATTAAAGAACACTGACTTTTTAGCAGAAGCCCAGGAATATGAAGGGCTGGACCATGATCACTTTCTCTTAAAATAGACATTTCTAAAACAAACTGAAACAAGCATCCACACTGTATAATTCTGAGAAGTAAGCTAAGTAATAGTCAGCTGTAAGAAAATGACAAGACATTAAAATTGCTCTACTAGAAAACTGGTACATTGAATGTTATAATAACTATATTGTGAAAATTTATTGACAGCATCATCACTGTTGTTTCTGTTGCTCAGTTGCTAAATCACATCCAACTCTTTGGGACCCCATGGACTGCAGCATACCAGGCTCCTCTTCCCTCCACCATCTCCCAGAATTTGCTCAAATTCATGTCCATTGAATCAATGATACTATTATTATTAGCCATGATCAACATTCATTATCTCACGGGCCCTCACAATACTTCTCTGAATAGGTTTTATGTTTTATTCCCTCACATACTTATGGGGAAATTAAAATTCATATATAATAAACTACCTGAGGTGACACTGTTAGTAAGTACCAGAGCTAGCGCTTAGATCCAGGTTTATCTGACTCAAAATAATCAATCAGTTCTACTAGTAGAAGTTCTTAGCAGTCTTAAAGAGGAAATTTTTGCAAAGATACAAATTCCTTCAGGAATTTATAGAATAAAAATGTATGCATTATGATATGCCATTATTAAAGGTAGCAAAAGATAAGGATATTAGTACATAACACATAATAATAGGGGCTTCCCCTGAAGCTCAGCAGTAAAGAATCTGCCTGCAATGCAGGAGACAAGTGGAACACATCACATAAAGGAAAAAAAAAAATAATTTTCAACAGAAATGTAGCATTGGATAATATCCTGCAGCCTTTCATGATTTTAAAAAAAAAAACCAACAAACTACAAATAAAAATGAAATTTCTTCAACCTAATAAAGGCCATCTATAAAAATCTCACTGATTAACATCATACTTAATGGTTAATCAATACACATATATATTTTGCAGCTCTTATTAATATTATATTGGAAGTCTACCTGGAAAATTAGGTAAGAAAAAAGAAATGAAAAGCATCCAGATTGAAAAAGAGGAAGCAATCTCTAGCTGCAGATGGCATGGTCTTATATATAAAAAATCTTACAAAATCTAAACAACTATTAGAACTAATGACCATGTATAAGAACAACACACAAAAACATGGCAGCACTGAACAATCTAAACATAAATTAAGAAAAACAATTCAATTTAGAACATCATCAAAAAGAATAAAAGAATACTGAAAACTATAAAACACTGTTGAAAGCAATTAAAGAAGATAAACAAAGTCATTTCATGACTATGGATCAGAAATCTTAATACAATTAAAATGGCAATACTCCCTAAATTGATCTACACATTCAATGAAAATACAATTAAAATCCAACTTGGACTTCTTAAATTTACATACTTACTCTAAAATTAACATAAAAATGAAAGTGACCCCATCCCAATGGGGCTTCCCTAGTAGCTCAGATGGTAAAGCACCTGCTTGCAATGCAGGAGACCGGGGTTTGATCCCTGGGTCAGGAAGATCCCCTGGAGAAGGAAACGGCAACCCACTCCAGTATCCTTGCCCGGTAAATCCCATGGACAGAGGAGTCTGGCAGGCTACAGTCCATGGGGTCAACAAAGAGTCCGACACGAGTGAGCAACTAACACACACCACCCCAATGAGGATGAGAAAGGGCACCTCATTATGAACTGATAAAGGGTCGAGTCTGGGCCCCCTTAACTAGACTGTGTTTGCAGGGCTTGGAGTCAGGCACAGTTTACACTCTGGTATTTGGTGGAATTAGAATGGTTATTATCTAGAGCAGGTAGAAGCTTTCCTGGTCTTCTGGATAGAAAGAGTAGGTTTTTCTTGGGGTCTATTGTCTGACTCCATTGATATTTCTGGGTTGGTTACTTCTCCAGTACCTTGTCTGGGGCAAATGAGGCAAAAAGAGAAGCAAAATAAAATAATTAGCACATGATTTCCTCATGCATGAATTCATGATGGAAAAAAACAAAATTGTTTCCTTTCTTGTTCCATAACGGGCCATAAATTGTCAACATTTACATTACAAAGACAACTAATCAACCAAGAAAACATTGATATTTTTCCTATCTAAATTACTTTAGTTTTTCCATAGTACTACGAAGTTGATTGTCAGTATCTTTCTAAGACACTTTGGTATACAATAATTAATTATCAGATATATCCTTTGTAAGAATATTGTAGTATCTTTGTGCAAAATGTGAAGCTCACCAACAAATCAATACAGAAGGCTATATAAAAAGTATTTACACTAAAGTTTCATGCTATAAGAGAATTTATATACTTTACGTACTAACTGACTACAAGTATAAAATGATAAATATTTTAACTTTGTAGGTTACTTTATTTGATACCTAGTCCTTTTAAGCAAATTGAAATAAATACATAATGCCTGAAACTTCTAAATTCTTTTTCTAAATGAGCATCCCATAATGATATGAGACAAAGAGGTGAAATGAGTAGTTCTCAACTAATTTTCTTTAAAATGTAATTTACAAAGTATATTTGCAAAGTTGTCACAAGTGCTTTTAAACTTATTATTTGCCAGCGTTGGAAGTAATACACAATAAACATATTTTTAGCAAAGGAAATATGTAGAGCCAGAACCAAAAAAATTTTAAATATCAAATACTAAGTTTTTCAGAACACAACAATTTAAGTACTTTCACAACATTTAATTTAGAATTCATAAATATAAATAAGCAAAACATAAATTCATCCAAGAATACATCACATAATATGCCAGAAGGATTATGTAAATTCCATTATTTTAATTCTTCCCACCCTTAGCCTTAGGACAAAAGAGAAAATGGTTCAAAATAGATCCTATACACTTTCCTCCAACTCAATAACTATAAAGCTGGTTTATATTAGTAGAACAAAAAATTCACAACATTATAAAGAAAAGAGCCAATAATCACAGCTATAAAAAGCAGAAATTTTAAAATAGCCTTCTCAAGAATGGCGCAAGTTTCTGTATTGGGTGTGGTCATAAAAATGACCTTCCAGGTCCCAAGACATATCTACCAGACTATTTTAATACCTTCAGTTTTTTAAAAAGTGTCTTCAACTTAAATTCTGGATCTATTCCTTTTACTACTTTTATTCAAATAACTTGTTATAGGAAGCTTTTTGACATTAAACTGCCAGCTAATTAAAATGAAATGAACTTCTATCTTGTCTAGGGATGAAGTTGAATCAACAAATAATGTCTACATTCCACAAATGATAGAAGGATTTTTTAAAACAGTTATTGTAATACTTAACAATAAAAATAAACTAATGCCTATTTATACAGATAGAATTAAGCCAATTATGGTGCATGTATATATATATATTTGTGTGTGTGTGTGTGTGTGCATGTGTATAAATATAGAATGCAACAGTATAGAACAATGACAAAAATAGGATAAGTTTATATATACTGACAAGAAAACATATACTGACAAGTAAGTATAGCAAGAAACAAAAGAATAGACTGAGTAGAAGAACATATTTCTAAAAGCAAATTAAAATTATATAGCTTGATATGAGTAAATATGTGTGTGTATATATTTAAATATAAAGAGAAATCTCTAGAAGGATGGACATCAAACTATTCACACATGATTTCTGGGGAGAATTGTTGGAATTTGATTTCAACAAGAAAGTAGTCCTTAATTACTTCATGGGAAAAAAATGATCTAAAATGAAATTTAGGAAGGAAAAGATTTTGTCGTTAAACTCTGAATTTGCTTTAAATGTTTAAGTTTATGCAGGCTTTGCTTATCCAGAATAATACTGAATATATCACTGATATTGATACTTACTTAATGTCAAATCTATTTAACTTGTTTAAAAAATAAGTATGACAATAATTTTCAGATTTATATATCTTTTTTTCTATAAAATTAGAATCACAGTAAAGACCAAAAAAGCTAATCTAGCAATTAATTCTAGAGTTTTTTGTCTTAAAACTTCAATCCTGCATACTCAAATATTCCATAAGTTCTCAAATGCAGAGCAACATCTAACATTACCTTTGTAACTTATCAAGTATGCTTTCAATGAGCACTACTGATCAACTGAAAGAAATTCCATATGAAAACATGATAACAATTCTATAATTTGTGAAGATTTGCATATACATAATGTTTTTACTAAAATCTGACAAACTTTAAAAGAATAAAGGAAACAGACTCTCAAATCACTACCTTATATTCATCCACTATAATGCTGAGGGCTTCATGTCCCGCTTTCCTCATATCTTCCAATTCTTGTTTATGCTTTTCCTGAAAGAAAATAAGAAACTAAGCATGATTTGTTTTTGTTTTTTGTTGTTGTTGCTGTTGTTTACAAAATAACACACCACTGACGTTTGCATTTATAAGTGATGTGAGTGATTTGTGGCACACCAATGTTGCAGCTGAAAACAAAGAGAAACCCATTCAAAAAAACTTTCTGTTTAAAAGCATTCTGAAGATAGCAATGAGAGATAAAGGGAAACCATAACTGGGAAAGGAAAACCAGGCTTACAGGTAACGTAACCCAAGGCAATGATGTTATTCCTTGAGACATCTGGCAATTGTGGACCTGGATCTAGAGACAGGAGGCCCTGTGTCATCCAAAAAGCCAGGACCTTTTTTGTTGTTGTTATTTCTCCAGTAATACACACGTGTCAATAGTTCAATATGTAACAAAATTTGAGAACCACTAGATTAAGGAGAACAAACCCTCATTCTACCTTCCGAGCAAAGGAGAAGCTGAACTCTGTTTGAAGAATATTAACATCCTACAGAACCTTTCCAATTTTTCAAACACAATGTAAAGCTTTCAATGCAAAATTATCAGAAATAATAACAGATGAGACCAAAGAAACATAAAATAGAAAAGACAAAAGAAATAGACCAATGGGTGATTCAGATTTTAGTTATCAAAAAGTTTCAATATTTATGAATAAATACACACAAGAAAATAGAGAAGTGGGGAAAGTGGATATTACAGAGAATTTCTTCAGAGAATTGGAATTCATAAAATAAATTCTACAGCTCAATGCGATAGATGAGGTAAATAATAGATAAAACAGCAGAAAGCAGGATTAGAGGACCAAAAGGTAGTGGGGAAAAACCTATAAATGATCAAAAATATATTTTTTAACAAAACCCTTTAAAAAGACAAGAGACAAAGTAAAAAGGCAAATATTTGTGTAAAAGAATTGCTAAAAAAAATAATCCAAATAAAGAAGAAAAAATAAAATCTAGCAAGACAGGAACAATAAAGTGATGAAGAAAATAAAAAAGAAAATTTTCTAATATTATTCATGAATTCAAGATATTATACAACCTATAGATTTTTCTAAACAAATAGTAAGATATTGCTAAATATTACAGCAATAAATAAGAAATTTTAGGTAAAATGAAAAAACTACCAGGGGAAAAAAACAAAACTGAAACAAGATGAAATGAAAATTCTGAAAAATTTTGTATGTGTTAAAAAAAAAAAACTGAACCTATATTACATTAAAAACAAAATAAAATTTCTGACCAAGAAACATATAAGTACAGATTATTTAAAAGGTTACTTTTAATAAATAATTAATAAACAAATAACAGAACTCTTACACAAAATCTTCCAGAGAATGAAAAAAGAGGGAATATTTCCCCACATATTTTATTAAGAAAGCATATCCCTTATACTAAAATCTGCAAAGATAAAATTATGAACCAATCTCTTTTATGAAAACAAAAACTAAAATTCTACATAAAATATTAGTAAGTGGAATCTAGCAATAAATAAATAATACATCTCAATCAAGTATGATTTATTTTAGGAATGTCAGGTAGGCAGCAGTGACACACACCATTTCAGACCTGAACCACAAAACCTCCAGCAAATCCTCCACACACTTCCTTTGTCCCCCGCTATTTGCTTGCTGATGTCATTGCCTAGGATGATGACTGAAGACATGTGCTGCAAACAGCAGGAGGGCCTCTGTCAGCCTGGGACTTGAATGACTACACCATCACCTCAGTGGACTTGGTGAGAAAACTAATGATATTTAGGATAAAAGACAAGAAAAACAGTTCTTGTTCATTTATTGTTGTGAGAGTGTGTGCCAACCTACCTTGGTCATGAACAGTTCTGTGCGACTGTATGGACTGCAGCCCTCCAGGCTCCCCTATCCATGGGATTCTCTAGGCAAGAATACTGGAGTGGGTTGCCATGCCCTCCTCCAGGGGATCTTCCTGACCCAGGGATCAAATCCTCAGCTCTTATATCTTCTGCATTGGCAGGTGGGTTCTTTACCACTAGCGCCATCTGGGAATGTTACCAATTCCTCATTTATAAACTGCTTATACTTAACTTATTCAAGAATTTCTATTTCATTATCAAATTCTAATTGCCTTTTCCAGTATATAGCTTATGTATCTTTCTGTAGCTAAATCACTCTTTACTAAAATAGCCTAAACATAAAGAACCAATAAGGGCCCTTGATATAAACACTGATTTTTTTTGGTATGATTATCAATCTATGGCTCATGGCAGCAATCTTTTTTAAAAGTCAATTTCCCATTTCTGCGAAAGTTGTTTTCACTTCAGTCGCTCAGTCGTGTCCAACTCTTTGCAACCCCATGAACCTCAGAAAGCCAGGCCTCCCTGTCCATCACCAACTCCCGGAGTCTACCCAAACTCATGTCCATTGAGTTGGTGATGCCATCCAGCCATCTCATCCTCTGTCATCCCCTTCTCCTCCTGCCCTCAATCTTTCCCAGCATCAGGGTCTTTTCCAATGAGTCAGCTCTTCGCATCAGGTGGCCAAAGTATTGGAGTTTCAGCTTCAACATCAGTCCTTCCAATGAACACCCAAGACTGACCTCCTTTAAGATGGACTAAAGAGTTGTTTTAGTCAAAACTAAATAACAAAGCAGCAAAATCCAAACACCTAGTAAAGCAAGCTCATACATTCCATTACAATAAAAACAAGCAAACACATGTGGGCAGCACCACCAACTCATCACTTTGGAATGCCCATTCAGGTCAGGTCATCTCACTGATGGTATGTGACTTTCATAGAGATACCTAGGAGGGCAAAGGTATCAATTCCTATGATGAATAATAACATAGACTTTGTTTTTCTTAGTTTTCAAGATTTAAAAAGTTAAAGAGAAATAGGTATTATAATATTTTCTTTTCACATCACAGTAGAACATCTTAGGTAGATCTTGAGATGCGTATACTGTATCTTAAGACCACTGATTAATAACAAACTCATATAAAATAGGTTACATGGGCAAACAAACTCTGGAAATTAATATATATTAAAATATAGAACCTTCTACAAACCCAGAAGTAAAGAAACAATTGAACTTTACTAAAACTGGATTTTTCAGACTTAACTAATTAAATGTTAATTTACTTTTTTCGCTCATTGACAATACCTATTACCAGCTAATCTCTTTAGTTTAAAATTGAAATTTAGAACCAAAAAGGTCCAAAAGCTTTTCAGTGTTTTACAATCTAAAGTAAAGCAAATTCATTTAGATCTGTTAAATGAAACAGAATATATTCTACTTTTACATCATTATTTAGAAATAAAGATGAATATGCACCATTTCAATAATAAAGTTTGACCATTCAGCAACTATGGTTCTGAATGATGACATGAACCATTAAAAAGTATTGGGGTGCTATTAAAGGCACACACAGAGTACAATATATTAAGCAATTCATATAGCAGGTCTTTCAAATAGACATTTTATAAATGACAAAAATGTTCTATGACATATTTTATTGCAGTTGAACATAAACACTTAACCGATGGCTACATCTTCTTACATTGAAGGGACAGCAATCTACTGCTTTGCACATGCCTTAGAATACAGCATGTGCTAAGTTGCTTCAGTCGTGTCCGAGTCTTTGCAACACCATAAACCGTAGCACGCCAGGCATCCCTGTCCATCACCACCTCCCGGAGTTTACCCAAACTCAGGTCCATTTAGTCGGTGATGCTATCTAACCATCTCATCCTCTATCTCCTCCCGCCTTCAATCTGTCCCAGCATCAGGGTCTTTTCCAATGAGTCAGCTCTTTGCATAAGCTGGCCAAAGTACTGGAGTTTCAGCTTCAGCATCAGTCCTTCCAATGAATATTCAGGACTGATTTCCTTTAGGATGGACTGGATGCATCTCCTTGCAGTCCAAGGGACTCTCAAGAGTCTTCTCCAACATCACAGATCAAAAGCATCAATTCTTCTGCACTCAGCTTTCTTTATAGTCCAACTCTCACATCCATACATGACTACTGGAAAAAACAAGGCCTTGACTAGATGGACCTTTGGTGACAGAGTAATGTCTCTGCTTTTTAATATGCTGTCTAGGTTGGTCATAACTTTCCTTCCAAGGAGTAAGTGTGTTTTAATCTCATGGTTGCAATCACCATTGACAGTAATTTTGGAGCCCAAAACAATAAATGAGAGAAGACTGAACAACACATACACCAACTAAAAGAAATGAAACTATAGAATACACCACTCAACAACAACAGAATACACATTAAGCTCAAGTAGACATGAAACAATCTCCAGGATAGACTACAAGGTAAACCACAAAACAAATTTTAATAAATTTTAAAATACTGAAGTCATACAAAGTATTCTCTTCAACTACAAGGGAATGAAATTTGATATAATAGTGAAAAGTTGAGAAAATTCACAAGTTTGTAGACATCAAACAACATATTCCTATATAACCAACTAGTCAAGAGGAAATCACAAGGGAAATTAAAAATCTACACTAAAAAAAGAAAAACAACAAACCAATAACCTAACCTTTCACCTTAAGGAACTAGAAAAAGAAGAATAAACTAAACCCAAAGCAAGCATAATGAAGGAAACTAAAAGAATAAAAACAAAAGAATAGAAAATCAATACAGAAAATCAACTGGACCAGAGTTGGTTCCTTTTAAAAAATCAGCAATATGACAAACATTCATTGACCAAAGCAGGAAAAAAAAGAGAAGAGGGATGAGTCAAATTAGTAAAATTAGTAACAAGGAAAGGGCTTATTACTGAACTTAAAGAAACAAAAAGGAACATACAAAAATATTCAGTTCAGTTCAGTGGCTCAGTCGTGACCGACTCCTTGTGATCCCATGAATTGCAGCACGCTAGGCCTCCCTGTCCATCACAAACTCCCGGAGTCCACCCAAACCCATGCCCATTCAAGTCGGTGATGCCATCCAGCCATCTCATCCTCTGTCGTCCCCTTCTCCTCCTGCCCCCAATCCCTCCCAG